AGCAACAAAAAAAAATGTGCAGAACTTATGTGCCAACGGGATATCAGCAATAATAACAAAAAAAAATAATATAACGACAAGGGGGTTTTTTCAATAGTGCCATAAGTGTTATTAATATGAAAAAACATAACGAGCAAAAAAAATGAAACAAACTTAAAAAAGTTTTTCATACTTTTGCATCGATCGTACCAGAAGAATATTGTCCAACTGTTCAAGATTAAGATTAGTGCGTCTTTCTTGTATAACTAATCCAGCTCCTGAAAATTCTCTTTCAACTGCTGCAGTTGTAGCTGGTATTGAAAAAATTGAACAAGCGAAACGAGATAAACGGGGAAATTTTTCTTGTTGATCCTTCCAAAAAATTAATGGGTTTGATGGTAGCTTAGATTTGTCAAGCTCAAAATTCAAATATATATCAAGTTCATCCTTTTTTTGTCATCAAAAGGATATTCTTCACTGTCATTACTCGATTCTTTTTCAATTTCTTGTTGAGCATCAAAACCATCAGATTCGAATCGATGAAACAAATCACCTTTAAATTTTTGAATGGATGGAAAAAGGCAGAAAGGAAAAAACATCGAAAATAAAAATGTCGAAAACAAAAGTATGACATGAAGATGAACCAGTAAAGTTGAAGATGAAGGTGAGGAAGATTGGTACTTCAATACATTCTCATTTTCATCATTTACCTCCGTCTACATTTCCTTTATTTCTGCTTTTGATATTTTTATTTTCGACATTTTTTCCTTTCGATATTTTTCCTTTCTGCCTTTTTCCACCATACCAAATTTTTTTCTCACTGATTCATTTGTTTGTTGTTCATTTGATTCATTTGGTTCAATTGAAATCAGTTGCATTTGTTGTCGAACATAAGTATAACATTCAGAACGTTCAGTTCAGAGATGAGCACAGGACAACTTTTTCTGTCCTGTCCTGTCCTGTCCTGCAGTCAACCTTCGTCCTGCTGAGCGGCAGGACAGAACGAAAAATGATTTATCCTCCTGTCCTGTCCTGTCCTGCAGTCAACCTCCGTCCTGTTGAGCGGCAGGACAGGACGAAAAATGGCTTACCCTCCTGTCCTGCCGCGCAGGACAGGACAGGACACAGGACGGCCGCACCGTCCTGTCCTGTGCTCATCTCTGTTTTCGTATGACATTAGTGTCGACCTCTATCTTTTATTTGTAGCTTTGGTAATGTATATATGAATGTTCGTAGTTTTTAAAAATACTCATAAGAGGTTGTTGCTAAAATATAGTTTTGAATGAATTATTTTGAAATTCAGAATGTTAATATCATTGGGATAGTTTTTTTATCATCACAGACAATAACAATCTGACGAGTTTTACTTACTTGTATTTGAACACTAGTATGAAAATACTGATAACATTAGCTATTAGTATTTCTCTATAGGTTGTCTGTTTTCAAAAAAAGATTTCAGTAGCGCGTGACCCATAATAAGAGCGGGTCAAAATGTTTCTCTCTTTTTAGAGCATTTTCCAAAACATTGAAGAGTGTGTTTTCGGATCAATCAATAGAGAATTTTTTCCTGTATAAAACTATGGACTTTGTTTTTCAAATAAGTTTTTCTTATCTGCAAAAAATCGACGAGATTGACAACCGTTCAACTGCGACAATCCGTTAAACGAAATAATTATTAAAAATAGTTTTAAATAACAGTTCTGTCGAAATTCGAAACATGCTACAAGATACTGCGTGAAATTCTGCATCTTTCGATGTTTCGAAATTTTCCAAAAACCTTTGAATGAACAATTTTTCGAGCAAAAATTTAAAAATAACACAATAGACTCTTTTCTGGCAGACCTATGCCATTGTTTATTTTTACTTCTGAACAATCTAAAGATTTTCGTTGGTCGTTCTAAATACTACATTATTTTGTGCAGAATTGAATTCTGTATCCGATGGTATAAAACTAAAGTGTTCATAGAGCACGGCTGACTTTTGAAAACAAGAGTTTCGAAAGCGCATTCAATATGAAATACCACGAGGCATTAGTACCAAACCTTTTGCAACTGAATGACACTATCAAGAGCTCTAAAAATATATTGGAACTATAGAGCAGAAAATTCTCTATCTATTAATACTGAATGATTTACATGTAATATCGAACTTGATGAACACAGAATTACATAAACTTATAGATGTTCGAAGAAAATAATACGAGATCACAGTTGAGCAATTGAGTAGCTGCTAGTTTTTTCCATTTTTTGTTGACAAGAAATAACTTATTTGAAAAATAAAGTTGACAGCTTGTAGAGTCAAAAATTCTCTATCGAATGAATGTAAAACAGAGTCTTCAATGCTTTGGGAAGTGTCATTAGAAGAAGGAAACATTGTGATCCGTTTATTATGGGCCACCCGTTATAATAAAATCAATTGCAAGGATAAGAAAGAAATCTTCAAACAACAAACTCTATCTGCAACAGTAATTTCTCATGTTATCAAATCGTTTATATTTGAGAAAAAAAAAGAACTAATATGTATTGATGATTATGAAAATCTATATTCAAATGAATGGTTGAAACAAATTGTAATTAGAAAAATCAATGTTTATAGACATGCGTCATATTCAAAGTTTGATATGGTATTCGACAACTATTCATACATGAACACAACCTAAAATTCGACCAAGTTTGTGTTCCGATATTTTTCAATATTGTTAACTTTTTTTGTTTTTAGGATGTTTGTATATTTCTTTCATTTTTGAACCTTTTATATCACTACATGTAGATCTACCATCGATAATCCTACGATTCTTTCTTTTCTTAATTAAATGAAAATAATTGTAATGAAGGCCGAACAGAAGCCTAAAAACTTCTAGATCCGCTGCATATCTAAATAGAAAAACAGCACATTCATATTCTTACTATGAAACATTGGTACTGAAATGATAGATATAATTTATAAATTACTAACGAAAAAAAAAATCAAGTCGAAAATTCAGAAGTTTTAAAATCTTTTAGTCATTCTTGATATAATTCGATCACATAGATTCATTATCACTTGATTTACTTTTGAATCGTCGTTGCTGATTTACTGACATTGGAATATTCGCTTCTGATTTATCACTAGCAGCTAATCGAGTATAAATATAATCTATTGATTTATTTGAATTTGATTGATAAATAAATATTGCTATTATAAATAATAGAAATGCCATAATAGTTTCACCTGCAATAGTTATATTACATAACAATGAAAAATTCCATACTGGTTCATAGAAATAATGACCAACACTAATCATTGACATTAAACTATATAATGTAACAACAATTAACATATGAAAAGATTGTGTTTGTTCATTTGTACATGATAATAATAATTTTCTAGTTGCAATAATAAATAAAATTGATAAAGGAAAATTAAATATAAATGTTCTTTCCATTTCACCCATAAATATTTTTAAATAAAGTCTTTTTGGTTCAAAATATCCAGCTGGATCATAAATATTATGAATATAATGTGAAACATGAAAGAAAATATTTAATAATAATATTAATGGTATAATAATTCGATGAAATATTTTATTTTTTAATATTAATTTATATTTATTATAAATCCATATTAAATTAATTAATGTACCTATTCCAATAATCATACATATGATTATCATTAAAATTCGAATTAATGGAAGTTTTTTCAATGATTCAGATATAAGTACATCTTCATTACGAAAAGTACTTCGTCGAAATATTGGTTCAGAATTCATTGACATGGATGAATAATTCCTAATTATATAATATCAAAAAAATAAAAATAAAAAGATTTAATTCATCAATATTTATAATCACAAAATAATATGAATTATGTTTCTAAATAGTACTTCGATAGATTTTGTCGAATAATATTATTATTCAGTTTTGTTCGATTATGATCATTTTATTTAATAAGTTAGATAATTCTATTTAGTGAATCTTACACTCTCGATTAAATATGTACGATATATACTATAGACACGTTTCTACCTATAAATTTTCAATAAAGTTAATATTTCTAGAGCCTTAAATTGGAGTAATCTTGAAGAAGTTTTTTTTGTTTTCTTTCTCGAGGTCAAATCCAGAATGCGAATCAATGTGAAATATACATAGTGAAACGACATCTGGATCTGATAATAATGTCAGCAAAACAAAAATTGCAATAGAAATGTATTAAAACAGAAAATATATTCAATTGTAAGTTTTATTATTTGGATAAAGATGAGTTTCACGCAAAGGACGCCGCTACGCTATATTTTACAAGAGTAATAACAGCAGATTTTGCTTGAGAAGAAATCAAACCCAAGATGCCGCTAAAAGCAACTCTCTAATTTTCAGTTGATCAGAAGAATTTAATATAATAAAAGAACCCGTATCAATGATACAATTAATATGTTATTAACAGAAGTTTTTTATAATAGGTTTCATCGGAAGTGCATGAATGAATTTCCAGTTCAGCAGCGATTTGATGATTCATGCGCATGTGACCATACACTACCTAACTTTCAAGATTTCAAGTAATAAGAGAAAGTCCATCATTTACCTAAAATTTACAAAGATACTATTTCTTGTCACAAGACGTCGAAGTTACTCGTTTGAAGCATATTTACATGTAGTTGATAGAAACTAGTCAATATAACCTCATAAGGTGTCTCAGTATAGAACACTCACAAACTCTGACTATCATAAATTTATGGCATATTGTCCGACGGGTTGAATTAATTTATTTAAAAAAAAATGTCAAATTAAGCCAAAGTCATAACTAATTTTATAGTCGATACGCACGCTCTG